GGGGGTGAGGAGCGGCGCGGGGGGTCCCTAACCCCTCTGTGCCCCAGGAGCAGTTGCTGAAGCAGCAGCAGCAGTGGCAGCAGCAGCACGGGCCGCCCCCGGCGCCCGCCTCCCCCCAGCAGCAGGTGGCAGCGGCTTCCCTGGCGGGCCTGGGCCCCTCGCCCGGTATCCACCCTCCGCAGGGGGCGGGGCAGCAGCAGGCCCCGCCCCCCCAGCAGCAGGCCCCGCCCAAGGCCATGTACCCGGGCTCCATGGGGCGCCCCCCGCCCATGCCCCAGATGAACTTTGACCCCCGCTGGATGGTGATCCCGCCCTACATGGACCCGCGCATGATGCAGGGGCGGCCGCCCATGGACTTCTACCCGCCCGGGGTGCACCCCTCTGGTAAGCCCTGCCCATGCCTGGGTCATGTGACCCGCTGGCCCTGCCCACGCCTGGCCCAGGGTGTGACACACTAACTGGGCTAGACCTGGGTCACGTGATCACCCATTGACCTGTGGCCTGGGTCATGTCTACATGTCAAAAATGACTTGGACGAGTTACAGGCCTTCAAATCACCAGGGCCGGATGAAATGCAGCCTAGGAGATCTCGGCGCCATTGGCGAGTCTCTCTGAGAAGCCCTGGCAGACGGGAAAAGGGAAATAAACAAACCGGGGAATTACAGCCCAGTAGCTTCACTCTGTACCCGGACAGATAATGGAGCAAATCATTAAGCAATCGATTTGCAAACCCCTAGAAGATAATGAGGTGATCAGGAACGGTCAGTGTGGGTTTGTCGTGTCAGACCAGCCTGAGAGCTTTCTGTGACAGCGTCGGGGGGGAAGCGTAGGGGGAAGCGGGAGACGTGGTAGATCTGGACTTTAGTGAGGCTTTTGATACGGTCTCGCGTGACCTTCTCCTAAACAAACTAGGGAAATACAACCTTGATGGAGCTACTATAAGGTGCGGAACTGGTTGGAAAACCGTTCCCAGAGAGTAGTGATCAGTGGGTCACAGTGCGGCTGGAAGGGCATCACGAGTGGGGTCCCGCAGGGATCGGTTCTGGGTCCGGTTCTGTTCAATATCTTCATCAGTGACTTAGATAGTGGCAGAGAGAGTCCACTGATAGTGTGCGGACGATACCGAGCTGGGAGGGGTTGCGAGTTCTTTGGAGGACAGGATTAAAATGCAAAGTCCTCTGGACAAACTGGAGAAATGGTCTGAAGTCAATAGGATGACATTTAGTAGGACAAATGCAAAGTTCTCCACTTAGGAAGGGACAAT